GTAAAAGTATATTAAAAGTAATCCATCTTTGCTTCTAGTGTGAACCCCAAGATTATGAGGAAGTTGTAAATCATTTGTACGAGATTCTATACGCCGCGGAGATCACGAAGGAAAGGCTGCTAGTTTTCGCACAGAGGCTAATCAACGATGTCGCACAGGTACGTATTTACTTATATAAATCCATAGAGAAGGTTCTACTCTTAAAATTAGGTTTACACATTGGTATGCTGGCCATTTTTCATTACTTTTTATTTAACGTACACTTTATGTTTGAGATCGTTTTAACATTGTTTATTTACGTAGACGAACCAATCCCGAAATATCAATTTCGCGCCCAGTGTAAGCTTAATTTCTTATACAATCTCAGGTTCGAAGATCCGGTGACAAAATGATGTACGATGCCCTTCGAGACTCTGTCTACAGCAAAAACAGCAACTTGCACTGGTGCACAGTACTAAGACAGCAAAAATTCCTAAAAGAGCTGATAGAACAGCTGACAGCCGGTGGAGATTCCGCCGAATCGGCTCTCTTAGAAGCCAGGAAATCATTCAAGAGTATCACTGAGAACGCGTGGCTCCATCTAGCGACAGACTTCGAAAGATATAAGCTGAGCACTGAACCTTGGAAGAGGTTCGCTAGGGAGAATGAAATTACGCCTTTGACGTGAGTATTTTGGAACTGTAGGATTAATGTATTTTGTTACTGTGTTTGCCCTACATGCGTGCAAATAGAAAGCCTGCAAACTTCTGAAAGTGTCACGTAATAATTAGCCGTACCTTTATGAATTATACATTTGAAATTGCTCTATTCATCAAGTGAAATTCTCATAAATATCGTTCAGCCGTTTTTGAGTTTCAGCACAATTTTTGATTCATAACATCGTAAGAATAATTGCGGTGTTTTTCTTATAATTTATTGCTAATTTTTGTTTCTAGTCCCCGTCTATACTGGGACGCGGAGCTGCTCTCGTCGTTTGGCGGTGGGTTCGTGCTGGGCGTGGGCGGCTGGGAGTCGTGCTGCGTGGCGTCGCTGAGCCCCGGCCCGCGCGGACACTCCGCCGCCATAGTCGCGCCACTCATGGTCGCACTCAACTACTTCACACAGCTTGAGGTAAGAAACAATTAGCGGAGTTCTTCTAAATTGTAACTTTCTTGTCAGTCTAAAAGTCTAGAATTTATCAATGTCGAGGTATAAAGCAGTGAACGTTGTTGATAGTGAAATGAGTAGTAACGAAAGAACGCAATCAATAAAATATTTAAATGACTTCATTAGTATTTTCAAATCTAAAAGACTAATAAAAGTGTGGGAGTGCAATGCTTCGGCACGAATGAGCTGGCTCGACCAGAGTGATACCACGGCTTCACTGAAAACCGACGTGAAACATCGCTTGCGTTGTGTGAGTGAGGTTACCAGAGGCCCAATAGGGTAGTATCCTAAATTTTATTTTAATGTCCGTCTGGTACATTTATATTAAACTTTAGACACGTATAAAATTAAATACTTTCGTTTGAAATATCGTGTGACGTCACAGCGTGTCACATTTTGTAGCACGTTATGACGTAACGACCTCCCACTCCTAAACTTAGCGCCATTTTATCCAAGTATTGCAACTTAAATACGAGAAAATAAAAAAATACGCGTCTAATATTTTTTCATTATCTGGAAACTACGCAATTATCCCCCCTCCCTTCCCCAATCTGCCAATCCCTGCCCCAACAATCCTCAAATTCCTAAAGGCCGGTAACGCACTTGTAACGCATCTGGTGTTTCGAGTGTCCATGGGCGACGTCGATTGCTTAAAGGTGATCCGTCAGCTCGTTTACCGGATTAATCCAGAAAAAAAAATTAGTTCAGTTGTTTAGGCATATTAATTACAAACTAACAAGGTTCCCATCAATATGAATGTTATCTGAGCAGTTTATATCACTTTCTTCCAGGGTCCAATGTGGCGTCTAATCCGTGGTTGTGGCCTATCGTATGGTTACGCTATCCGCATGTCCCCTAACGAGGGCAGACTGATATTCTCCCTGTACAGAGCAACTAACGCCGTCGCAGCCTACAGCAAAGCTAAGAGCATTTTGGTAAGTACGTTCAATAATTTCTTTGCTGTGTAATGTTTTGGCTAACTATTGTTCCGTTGAACTTTTTTATCAACAAATTAGAATACTTTTTTTAAAGTCTGGTATAAAGTGTACCGCATTAATCCGTAAAATAGTCAGTTTTCTTGCGTTAAATTAATTGTTTAAAACTATTTTATGTTATGAACTCTAATTTTGAAAACTACTATGGCTAATTGATGCAAACTTGTAAGATGGATAAGATTTATTGAATAACCTTTAAAAATTTAACAATGACGAAACGTATATTGCCAGACCATAGATAAAATAAAATAAAAAAGAAAATTAGCTACAGACAAAGTTGACATCCACAGATAAAACAATAGACAAAAAGTAATTAGAAAATGCATTTATATTTCAACACTAATCTAAGATATTTTTCTTCTATTTTCGTATAGGAAGAATACTTGAAAGACGCGAAGTTTGACGACGATCTATTCGCATCCGCGAAGAGTACGGTGCTGTTCGAGGTGGTGGAGAACGAGAAATGTCCCGCAGACGTCGTGAAACGATCACTCATGTACTACCTGTATAGGGAAGCACCCTCATATAATAAGTACGTTTTACATATTAGTTTTAAAATTGACTTAATTGTGTGGTAAATAGGAACTAGAAGCACCCATTTCATATTTCACATTTCACATCATTAATGCTAGTCTCCATATAGGGTTTGCCATAATTTCGATTCCTTGTTTCACGTTTAAAATAATCGAAACGATACCGCGGTCGGCGCTCTGATTGGTTGGTTCATTGGAGCCGGCCAATCAGAGTGCTGAATGCGGTCTAAGGTACTAATGTATGTATAATCTCCCAAATTGGCTCCTGTGGCACGCATGACAGAAGGTCGTTGACAAGTGCATCTACTTTGCTGTTTGATAGACATAGACAGACAGACTAGTACCTTATTTTACTTTTTACCTATCCACTTCAAACGTTACACACACATTAATAGAGTCTAACTCTAAATTGTATTTACAGTGATCTAGTAAAGGCGATATCAGCAGTGACTCCCGAGGCAGCTCACGCGGCGGCCGCCAAGTGGTTGCCTTCACTCTTCGACACGGAGCAAGGCAAGCTGGCCATCGTCTGCCATCCTACTAAAGTCAACGACATGAACACTGCCTTTGAAAAGTAAGTCTATTGTTTTATTTATCACATGATAAGATCTAGCTTTACTTTATTGCGATTCCTACTATGTTAATGCTTACCATCAGTCGACCCATTCGGATTGTTTGCCCCAAATAACATATTAATGCAAATATTGTAATACGTATTTTATATTCGTTGCCTCGTTAGCGTGTTCGCAAGTGCGACTGCCGGACAAGGGGTCACGGGTTCGATTTCCGGGTAGGAAAGTATTATTTCTCAGTTTTTAGCCCGGAGTCTGGAATTGTATTATTTGGCAATAGGCTCACTCCTATTACATGAGACTTATAACATAAATAGTGAAAAGTGGTTGTTACATTGTACAGTGGCATTTAAGTGCAGTAATGTTCGCCTCTGCCTACCCCTTCAAGGATAAAAGGCGTGATATTATGTTATGTATTTTATATTTATACATTCTGGATTCTTATCTAAACATAGAATAAGACTATATAATTACGATTTTTTAACATACAGTTCGAGTGAACTTCATTATTCCATAACCTTATATTCGATTTTGTTGTCTTTGACATCGAGTTTAACTAATTTATATTATTGTCCACAGAATGAACGTGAAACTGGATGTTTACGAGTCGATGGAAGCGTCGCATTTTAACAATTAATTAGTTAAGTACAACGCTAGGTGCTTTTAAGTGTACATCCCAAACTGGTGGACTATAAATACTTAGGTCACATACCAGACTGTCATGACTATTTCAAAATATAAATCTGTACCTATTTTTCCCATTAATTCTTAGATAGTGTAATTATGATGTCTTTAATCAGATTATACTAAGTTGTAAGTATAAATCATACAAATATCAACCGATAAGAACCTCCTCACTTTTGAAATCGGTTAAAAATACAAGTGGCCTTATTTCTATGTCCACCAGTGTATTATAATTATTATTATATACTAATAAAACTATATCATCGTCGTTTTTTATCTCAATTATAAATACAAGTTATTAGCAATGCAAGTTGTTGGTGTATTTACAATATAATTATAATAAATATACTGTTATTTCTTATATTGCTTGGCTGTGCCTGATACTAAACTAAGTGTAAGTGGTCGAAGTATTTCATTTTATAATAATTCGCATTTTATTAAAAAGAGTTTTGTTTGAATAAAATACGTATACAACATATTTTTTTATCGTTTTTTTTTATTTTTTATATCCCTTGGTCCATAGGTAAGTAATATGTTCACTGTTAAACTGTCAAACACCAAGCGGTCACCGGTGACCGCAACCTATTGTTCTATAATTGTGTCTACAAAACCGGTACTCGACGAGTTAAACAAGTTGTGGATCATAAATGACTGCCTCGTTGGCCGAGTGGCCGCAAGTACAACTGCCGGACAAGGGGTCTTGGGTTCGATTCCCGGGTAGGGCAAAGTATTATTGGGTTTTTAAAAATCTAAGTAGTAGCACGGAGTCTAGAAATGTGCCCGGTATATGGCAATAGGCTCACCCCCTATTACATGGGACTCATAACATAAACAGTAAAGTGGGTGTTACATTGTATAGTGGTATAATGTGCTGTGTGCACCTCTGCCTACCCCTTCGGGGATAAAAGGCGTGATGTTATGTTATGTTTATTGATCATAAAATGAGAAATGGTCGCTAAGCCTCTAATGTTATTTGTCCTCTGTGGGATAAGCAGAGGTATTTAGCTACGAAAAAACGACATAAAATTGAAGCACTACAAATATTATTTCCAATAAAAAAAACATCAAAATTGTGATAATAATTTTAATCACCATTTACGAATCTTAAAGCTATGTATGTCTATACAAAAATATAACTTAAATTTAGTCAGATAATTAGTGAACATCAGTATAAATCATCTCACAACCACTGCAACATCTCCGTCATATAATTCAAACCAATCCATAGAGTAATATCAGTGTTCAACATTTATCTTCATAATAACAGGAATACTGGTTGTCAACGGTCAACAATCTACAGTATGTGAATATCTTAAATAGTCCCAAATATACCAGTTAAACATCATTGAGCTGCAAGTCAACATTACATAGCTTTCTTAATTTCAACAATTTAAACTTAATTAGCATTTTCTTTAGCCATGCTCGTCACTCGTCCATATATCGCTCTAATGCCGTCCACTTGATCTGTGTCTCGTGAATGTTAAATACATAATACTGGTTAATTTTGTTAGTGAATTTTCAAATGCATGTTACAGATATCGTCGTGTACAAAAATAAAGTGGCCTGTCCAAGAAATACATGTTTTGTTTACATTTTGTAGGCCATTCTATCCGTTTGTACCCACCACCTACACCGCTGGTGAGTTATATATTAATATGCAATATAAATTACTCGTCTAAACAATAAAATTACATTGTACATGCAAGATATATTTACAGTTTCATAACATTCTATGCTAGTCGTAAGGAAAATAAGGATTTATCAAGTAACATTAATTTTAATGCTTACTATGCATATTTAATATGCACAATATGTAAATAATGCATGTTAAAGCACCAACATGTATGTAACACGGGAAATATATGAAGCATAAAATTTCGTATAATTTATCTTTTAGTTTTTACAAATCAACATGAATTTATCTCTGGCTCATAGGACACTTATCAATCCATTAAAATACGTAGTAATAAATGTATGTGCTTTGAAGAGAGATTTGGTAAATGTTAAAATTACACATTAATTAGTCTAACATTATATTAATTCGCTATGGACACCTACCTGACGATTAAAATTCCCTAATAAATGAATGACTAATATTTACGTTAATCATAATCTACGTAATAAAAGAGGCGGCCCCATTTACACTATCTAACCGCTACCGTGTGGATCTCGATACTCGGACCGATACACGACGCGTCGATATTGTACTTACACTCTCTACTGCTTGCGTAGCTGCTTACCAATACGAAGTGGACGAAGGGCCGGTTGAATTAGAGTTATCGACATCCAGGTACTTATAGTAAATGATACATCATATAACCAACGACTCATTATACACTACATCGCGTCCGCGTACTTTGCATAGCCAGAATGTTGTCAAACACAGCCTTCAGTGCTCTCTAAATAAAACAAAGGCCTTTTGGTTATTTTAACGATTTATGAGATTTTACTTAAGTTTAAATATTAAAGAATTTCCTATAATTATAGCAACAATTTTGTTCAGAACCGTTTATATATAAACTTGTACATCGTAGAGGTCGTGTAGCGGTCACACGCACATACACTGAGGTATCAAGATTATCAATCTAAGACCTCGAAACGTTCTTAACCACTTCGACACGCCCACTCGACGTCTGCTAAAGCTAACTTTCCATAAAAGAATCCTAATTAGATGGCCGAAACCAGTGCTCTCACCTAGAACCTTCGACCGGTCGCTCTTATAATAATAGAGAAGATAAGAGAAGTATATCGTAGCTGCCGCGTAGGAGCCGTATGGTTACATGACATTGGCGTCGATGGGCGGGGCGTGGCTGCGCAGCGCGTCGCGGATGTAGGACGCGATGGATGTGTCGGCCACGAGGTGGAAGAAGAACAGGTGCTCGAAGCTCTTCAGCGAGATGGAGCGCAGCGCGGGCAGGCGCAGCAGGAGCGCCGCGAACCTGCCCTCCTCGCCGCCGCGCGACCGCCGCACGTACTCGTCCAAGCACGAGAACATCTGCGCACACAACACTTGTCACTACCATAACCCAAAATAGACAGCAATTTAAAGTATATCAAATTTTCGCCACTTGCATTAAGAGACCCGGGTAATATAACGTATTATTTAAAATATATGTTTTAATGGCGTTTCCCCATTAACTGTAAGAGAATGCCATAAGGCGTTAAGTCCGCCATTCACTGTTTTCTTTTGTAAAGAAGATATAAAATAAATAAATAATATAGTAACTTGTTGTTGCATACTAGCGCCATTCAGTTTCATGCTACTTTACTACTGAGAATTTTCCACCGAAACTTTTTTTTAGCCAATCGACCTAACCCAATATGCGTGGTGATCACGCTCGAGATCGCTCGAGCAACGTACACAGTACACATACGTCACGATTTAGTTCCAAGTTCATTATATACACGTGTTCGCAACAATATGAACTGTAGCCTGTAGCAACCTCATTAATTCAATGCTAATCACTTTCAAATGGAAAAGAGGTCAAATGTGATATGACATGCGAACTCATTGTAAATATTGTAATATAATTACATCGGACGTCGAACGGAGCGAAAATAACTCTGCAGTTCGCTTTGTAGTAGCAAGCAGATCAAGCTACGCCTTTCTATCATCATCTATCATATTTGTTATATTTTAAACTTTGCGAATTTGGTATAGAGTCGAAAATTCATTGAAACACCTGACAAAGTGGGGTAGGTTGACGTGCCGGTCGCTGTCTCTATTCAGAATATTCATATGAATGTACGCCAGTTACTCAGGTGTTAATACAATGAATGCAAATTTACCTTTTCTCGTAAAAGTTCAACATCTAGTCTGTTTTTCAGTCCTTTCACATCTGAAAAAATAAACGAGAGTAATTTTTACATTTGTATTTTATTGTTTTACACACGTTATCAAATATGTGGATGTTCAGTGTGGTTTAATAAAACAAATTCAATGTGTTTGTTGTAGAAATAATTCTGACTACAAATAATAAATTAGGTATTTAAACTGTAAAAGAGAACAAATTCAACTATTTTTCTGTAGAAAAACATTGAAATATTAAACACAAATCAGTTTACTGAATCTTTCCGAAAATGCATATTTATTTATTGCACACATATTTCATTTGTCATTACAGACTTAATCTAATGCGACAAAGTATTGTTTAAATCACATCTAAACTATGTAATTCCGAATTAAATTACATACCAACTCGCCATATAATCTCCGAAGACGTGCCATAAATAAATATATACTTAAACTGTTTATATTATAACTTTCGTGAGACATACTAAATTAATTATTATGTTTGCGACAGTCGCCGCGACGTGTGTCGCCGAATGCTGCTCATGAATTCATATTGTGTATGAGAGTCTAAATCTAAATTGGTCGAGTTCCTCGTCAAACAAATACGTGAATAAGCCGAAAACACAATAATTAATATTTTTAAAATCGTACTTTGATTTAAACTGTCAAACACCGAGCGGTCACCGGTGATCGCAACCTATTGTTCTTTAATTGTGTCTATAATGACGGTACTCAACGATATTTTTTTTTATGGCATAAGCCGGTAAACGAGCATACGGATCACCTGATGGTAAGCAATCGGCGTCGCCCATGGACACCTGGAACACCAGAGGCGTTACAAGTGCGTCACCAGCTCTTTGGAAATTAGGAGTTTGAGGATCGTGGGGATTCAGGGATTGGGGAGATTGGGGAAGGGGAAGGTAATTGGGCCTCCGGTAACCTCACTCACACGACGAAACACAACGCAAGCGTTGCTTCACGTCGGTTTTCTGTGAGGCCGTGGTATCACTCCGGTCGAGCCGGCCCATTCGTGCCGAAGCATGGCTCTCCCACTACAAAAATCTAAACGGCATAATTATCAATTACTTTTCACATATTTGTATACATACCAGGATTGAGCAGTATGATGGCTTTGAGTGCGACATACTCGGCCTGGTCGAAGCGGAGAGCGCGCATTTTGAGGGACAGTTCCGAAAGGACGCGGTCGAATATCTGGCCGACGCCTGCTTGGAGAGCCGAGTTACGGTGTAGGGTCATACCTGGAACATTCATATTGAAACATTATAGAACATTAGACCTTACTTTTCGATTCCCGAAAGAGGGGCGCATATAATACAAGGTAACACCCCCTCTTGACTAGTGAATTCCGTGTTAAAAACGGGACAGAAACAAAGACATCATCAATAACTTAAAGTGGCCACTGCTGACCAAAGATATAACATCATCACATCACGCCTTTTATCCTCGAAGGGGTAGGCAGAGGTGCACATTATACCACTGTACAATTT